TTCCCGACTCTCCTCCAAACAGGACAGAACATGACCCAGATCGCCTCAGAGGTTCCCGATCTCTCCTTCTTGACAACCATCTCAATTTCGTGAACATTTCTATCAAATCCTTTTTTGAAAGGGTATGTACTAAGGGACCCTTCCTGTTCCACGTTTCTTTGTTCCCCTCTCCTCTCTGAAATTGGGCTTCCTTTATCTTGGACCTCCTCCATAAAAAATTACCAAGTGACAGTCATTAATTGATCACCTCACTCATGTTTATAGAGCACTCGTTCTGTTCTCTTAATTTTGCGATTCTGGACTTTTTTTTCCCCCCTGTGCCGGCATATCTTTTTTTATCATAAGGGAGTTTGCACTTGCCTGGGGTGTTTTAGGGCCACCCCCTTTAGTTGGTTTACTTCTCATTTTCTTTAGAGGAGTCCCGTTTAATGACATTTGTTACTTTGGACTGGGGTAGGCCTTCTATATAAAATACAGCATATATATATAGATATATATATAATACAGGTCTACTATATAAGACTAACTTAGATCTTCTGTATTGAATTTGCGTAAATCTGCTATATACAGCTGATACGTGTCTGCTGTATAGTACTTGAATTAAGTCAGCAATATATAACTTGATGCAGATCAGCTGTATACAATTTGATGTGCATCTACTATTTGAAGTTTTGTGCAGATCTACTATGTAACTAGACAGAATTTCACTGTATAGACCTTGGTGCAGGTCACTTGTTTGGACTTCCAAATGAATCTGTTGTTTGGAGCTTAGTGCGGGTCTGCTGCGTTGTATTTAACAAGAGCCTACTATTTAGGCTTAGTACAGGTCTGCTGTAATAAAATTTGGTGTGAGTCTGCTGTTTGGAGCTATGTGCGGGGACCGCTGTAAAACGTTTGGCATCAATCAGCTGTATAGAGCTTGTTGCAGGTACGTTGTATATGCTTTGGTATAGATCTGCATTTAAGAGCTTGGTGTGGATCTGCTATATGATGCTTGCCGAGAATCAGCTGTGACTGAATATCAGTCTTTAGACTTCCACCAGCACTGACAGACATTGGTAATACAGTTCTCAAACAAATGTACACAGTGTGCTGGGAAATGTCTGCAGCAAACCTTAATCACCCTGCACCAGGAAATCTACACCACCTTGGTGCAGGTCACTTGTTAAGACTTCCATATGAGTCTATTGTTTGAGTGAAGCTTAGTGCGGGTCTGTTGCATTGTATTAAATAAAAGTGTTCTATATATAGCTTAGTACAGGTCTGTTATATAAGATTTGGTGTGAGTCTGCTGTTTTGGAGCAAGGTGCGGATCCACTGTATAACATTTGGCATCAGTCAGCTGTATAGAGCTTGTTACAGGTACGCTGTATACACTTTGGTTATAGATCTACATTTAAAAGCTTGATGTGGGTCTGCTGTATGGTGCTTGACAAGAATCAGCTGTAATTAAATATCAGTCATTAGACTTCTATCTGCACCAACAGACATTGGTAATACAGTTCTCAAACAAATATACCCAGTGTGCTGGAAAATGTCTGCAGCAACCCTTAATCACCCTACACCAGGAAATCTGCACCAACCTTTTTGTATATGTTTTTATTTTATATGCCCGATGGAATACAAGATGAATTTGGGAACTGACCATATGTCCCCAGGCTCCGTTTCCATTGCTGCGGCTCCCTTCCCCTTCTAACCTATGACCGCCAGTCCTCCGGTCCTCAGGCAGTATCTGGAGCAGCTAAAAAAAAAAATGCGGGTCCTTCCATACCTCTCCAGGTCCTTGCTTCTTCTCTCTCCTTCCTTGGCCACTTCCCCTAGCACACCAACTCCAGACTCACATGGGAGCGGACTCTCACTCCGCTCCACCAGCACACCGACACCGCTCCCTTGCTGCACCACCGTCCTCCACCGCTCCGGATCAGATGACACCCCGGGCTCATTGTGATAATAACACTGACAAATAATATTTCCTCATATTTGGCAAATTTAGTCCTCTGTTTCTCTTTATGATTGCCTAAGGTTTCATACTTAATTCTTAGTTTCTTGTTAGCCCATATAAATCTCGATATCAATTTTTTTATTATCCTAAAAAAAATCCAGGTAAGTTTATAGGGAACATCTGAAACTTATACAGGATTTTTGGGACTATTACCATCTTAACCAGATTTATCCGCCCAATCCATGAAGCCCACCCTCCTGAGAGTCTTCTCAATGCCTCGTTAATTCATTTATAATGAAAATGGACTAAATTTAATTTAGTTGGATATAATTAGTCTGGTGTAGGTCCTTTGTTGCAGAGGTTAGTTTTATTTCCAAATACTTTAAATCTCTTTTCCTCCATGCAAATGGCAACTGAATCTTGTAAGTTCTTATTATTATATAGGATTTATATAGTGCCAACAGTTTGCGCAATGCTTTACAATATAAGGGAGGCAGTACAATTACAATACATTTCAGTACAGAAGGAATGTGAGGGCCCTGCTCGTGGAGCTTACAATCTAAAGGAAGGGGGAGATGATACAAAAAAGGTGATAGCTGCGGGGAATGAATCTAGTGGTGGTGATTCAAGTACAGTTCTTAGGTGGAGGTGGGGTAGGCTTCCCTGAAGAAGTGCGTTTTCAGAGATCGCCTAAAGGCAGATAGGGTGGGGCTGACAGGAGATGCTGTGGTAGGGAGTTCCAGAGGATGGGAGAGGCTCTGGAGAAGTCCTGGAGGCGAGCATGGGAGGAGGTGATGAGGGAGCTAGAGAGGAAGATATCATGGGAGGAGCAGAGGGGGCGATTTGGCTGATATCTGTGGATGAGGTCGGTGATGTAGCTAGGGGCAGTGTTGTGAATGGCTTTATAGGCTGTGGTTAGTATTTTGAATTTTATACGTTGGGTTATTGGAAGCCAGTGAAGGGATTGGCAGAGAGGGGCATGGTAAGGTGTATTTGTCTAGAAGCAGCATTCATAATAGACTGAAGGGGGGATAGCCTGTGTAACGGTAGACCAGTGAGGAGGGAGTTGCAGTAATCGAGGCGGGATATAACCAAGGCGTGAATAAGTTGTTTTTGTGGTGTCATTGGTCAGGAAGGGGCGGATTTTAGAAATGTACCAGAGGTTGAGGCGGCAGGATTAGCCAGTGAGTGGATGTGGGCCCAAAGGAGAGGTCCGAGTCTAGGCTTACGCCTAGCACCCTGGCATGAGGGGAAGGACCAATGGTTGTGCTGTTGATCGTGAATGGGGGATCAGGGAGGAGGAAATATTACAAGCTCAGTTTTTGAAAGATTGAGTTTGAGGTAGTGATGTGACATCCATGTTGATATGTCGCTTAGTAGATTTGTGATACGTGAGGAGATTGAGGGGGTGAGCTGGGGAATGGAGAGATAGATTTTGGTTTCATCAGCATAGAGGTGGTATTGGAAGCCATGGGAGGTTATCAGTTGGCCCAGGGAGGAGGTAAAAGAGAGAGAAAAGGAGGGGCCCAAGAACAGAACCTTGGAGTACCCCAACAGAAAAGGGAAGAGGAGCGGAGGAGGAGGAGTTGTATGTGACACTGAAAGCGTGCTGAATATATAAAACAGCATGTTGTCTGCGTATGCAGCTACCTTATGTTCTACTCCTCAATCCTGTTATATCTATGTTCTTTCTCACCGCTGCCGAAAGAGGTTCCAGAGATAACAGAAACAATAACGGGGATAATGGGCATCCCTGTCTAGTTCCATTATACATACAAAAAGTCCTAGACAGGGTCCCAATAACCTTCACTGCTGCTCACTGCTGCTGAAGGGCTATTATAAAGCCCTTTTATCCACTTCAACATTTTTCCCCTATTCCCAGAGCCTTCAGTGTGTTTAACATAAACCCCTAGTCTACACTATCAAAGGCCTTTTCAAAATTATTGTCGACTCCCTACCTCTCTTTGCTTTCTGTAATGTCCTCAAGCCGTTATCTCTTCCTTCCCTTCCTGGAATTAAACCTACCTGATCTAAATGTACCCATTCCAGCATCAACTCCTTCATCCTGGTAAATAGACAAAAATATGGTATTCCTCCTATAAAAACCCCAAATGCACATAAACACTTTAACCCCAAAAAGTGTATAAATCAAGATATATCTTCCTTTATCCTGGTAGCCAATACTTTTGCAAACAATTTGGTATCCATATTTAGTAATTACATGGGTCTATAGCTATTACATTGTGAGCTATCTTTCCGTTCCTTGAGAATCAGTGTTATATGTGCGTGCAATGATTCTCCGCTCATTTCCTTCTCCCAACGAATTCATATATCTACAAAGTTAACGGACCAATAGCTCATTAAACTTTTTATAATATCCCACCATATAGCCATCAGGGCCGGACTCTTTCCCCCCCCACGTGTTCATCAGAGCCGTCCTAATTTCATCTTGGGAGATATCTCGTTCTAGGGATATTAAATTTTGCAATTTTTGGTAAGTCTGCTGCAAATAAAAATTGTTGCCTTCTCTTCCTCATCTCTTCTTCTGTGGCTTTTACATTTATATGGTTCACCCCATACAGCTTACTATAGAACTTTTGGAACACTTCGGCGATACCAGTGGTGGAATATACCAACTCCCCATTTTCATCTTTCATTTTTTCTAAGTAATTTTTTTATTTATTTTCCTTCAATCTCTTTGTCCTCAATTTTCCTGGCCTATTCCCCCACTGGTATCTTTCCTTTGAGACTCTGTTAAAAACATTTCTGAATGATGGAAACTGACTGATGGAAAACATAGGTTAAAAAATCTCTGTTTAGCCGTGTTTGCATACCACGTTTATGCACGTTTATGTGCATTTATGAGCGTTTGCGTTTAGAATGGTTTTTTAAAGATAACCTCAGGAGCTCAGACAGACAGAGAGAAATAGAGAGAGCAGAAGCAGAGAGAGCAGTATTTGTTGTCTTTTTTTGTTTTGTGGTGTTTGGATGTGTTCCAGATCATTTCTGTGCAAAAATTATTGCAGCAGTGTCTAGCATATTTTCTTTCATGCAAAACCTCAAAGTATGGTGTACCAGGTCAATTTTAGTACCGGGAAAACACTTTGCATGCATTTTTCATGATGAAAAAAGGCTCAGGACAGCATCTGGAAATGGAAGAGTTAAAAACAATTTCCAAACACAAACGTTTATAAACGCTGTTTGCCATGTTTACATGCATTTACACACATTTACAAGCATTTGGCATTTGAAACGCTGATAAAATCTACTCCTGAACGCAAGTTTGGTGTGTTAAAAAAATTACTGTAAACTCAACTGCCGGTAAACGACTGTAAACAACATAGTGTACATGGACACATAGGAAAAACATTAGGGAGAGTTCAGGGGCTGCTGAAAACAGTGCAGTAAAGCTCCTAAACGTGAGTTTATCAGCTGCAGTGTACATGGAGCCTTAAGAATAATCTTCCCATATAAAACTGAGTGCTGCTTTATTTTATGTGCCTGTTCTAATTTATGTAATTCTTCAATTACCCATTTTAGCTTCCTCTCTCGATCTCTCTCTTTTTTTTTGTTCCTGCCCCTGTCAAAACTCCTCTCATATAGACATTATCAGCCTCCCATATAGTCGCTTCAGATAATTCCTTTGTTTCATTCATAAGGAAAAATTGCTCTAACTCTTCCCTAAGCCTATTTTCTATATCAGGGTCCTGTATGAGTGTCTCATTTAATCTCCACTTGGCCCTCTTGTTTCCCTCTCCTCCCAATTGTAGTATCACCGTGACAGGAGCGTGATCAGATAGGGACTTGACTTCTATGTTAGATTTCACCAAACATTCCAAGTGCCTGTGCTCTATTAATACATAATACAATCGTGAATATGATCTGTGTGCAGAACAGAAGAAGGTATAATCCATATCTCTGGGATGTTTTACTCCCCAAGTATCTATTAATTGATTTTGATATCATTCTTTTTTCAGCTTTCTTAATTTTTTTTCCCTCCCTCATTCTGCGCACCCTAAGACATATCCATCTGTGGGTCCAAACAACAATTAAAGTCTAGTGCCACGATCAGACTACCTCTCTTAAATTCCATACTTTTCCCCATTAAATTCAGAAGGAAGTCCTCTGGGTTCTAATTTGGGCAATAAATATTTACCAATGTATATCTTTGTCCCTGCAATTTCCCTCTTAATCCTAAATACCGACCCTCTGGGGTTTATTTACTAAACCTGTTTGACTCAGAATCTTGTCCACTTCTGCATAAAAACCAATCAGCTTCCAGGTTTTATTGCTGAAGCTTAACTGAACATGCTAAGGTTAGAAGCTGATTGGCTACCATGCACAGGTGCCCAAGATTCTGAGTCAACCAGGTTTAGTAAATAAACCCCTCTGGATCCACCAATTTTTCTTCAACCTCAAAGTTCATGTTTTTTGTGAATCCTATTGCCACACCCTTGGTCCTCTTTATTGGTGAATCCGCATAGTACAATGATGGGTAGTACCTCGGGTATAACTTAATGTTGGTGTCATATGAAAGATGGGTCTCCTGTAGGAAGGCTACGTCTACAGTGTGTTGGTACACTTCCCTGAGTATCTTATGTCTTTTAGCTGGAGAATTAAGACCTTTCACATTATATGTCAAAATGCTAATCAGACTCATGTCTAATATCAATTTTCTCTCTTAAATCCACATTTCCACTTATAGGTAGGGAAACCGTAGCTATTTGACTCATGGACAACCACCCTCCCCACAATTCCCCCCCCCCCCCACACCCCCCTGCCATACCTCCCACCTCCCCAATCCCTCTTCCCTCCCCTTTCTATTCCTCCCTTAAAACCCTCCTGGCCCATATATTGCCCTAGAATCTGACGTGGGACGCCCCCACACTAGTGATTCCTATTTTGGGGTTATGACTCTGAGCATACACACCACTCTTGACCCCATGTTCTCAACATTCTCCCTTCTTTCAACTATTTCGACCCTGGGGAGCTCCAGACGCCTGTCATTGCTATAAATATTTCTCATAATTCTTCTTGTGGATCAGATGAGGGCCTGCGGGAGCAACGGCCAGGGGGAATGACAAGAGCAGAGGGAGAGAAAGAGAGAAAAAGAAAAAAAAAAGGGCACCTCCTCATCTCCCCCTCTCTAATTCCCCTCCCCTCTCCTCCCCCCAGGCCCCCCAATCCACCCACCTTCAGCTACTCAGCTACTTTTTTCTACTATTTACTTGCTGCCATTTCTCACTTCTAATCATCCTCTTATTAGTCCCCTCTATATCCACAAACTGCAATTCTAATTTGTCACAAAAGTCAATCAGAGGCTATCACAGTGACCAGGTGATCGGTATCTGGGCCTCCCAGTCCCCTATAATTAGTACAGGACCCGGGGCTCATATATACAATGGCAAGGTAAAGTATGTGAACCCTTTGGAACTGACTGGTTTTCTGCAGTAATTTGCTGAATTACCTAGATGAGGATCTGATCCTCATATACATCACAACAAAACACAAACACGATTTACTTAAACTACTAACACGCAAACAATTCTAATTATGATGTCTTTATTGAGCATACCCAATAAACATTCACAGTGCTGGGGGAAACTGTAAATGAACCCATATACTAATTACTTCAGTGAAAACTAATTGAAGTCAGCAGTTTGCACACATGGAGTACAATTAATGAAATTAGTTTGGAGGTGTGGTTTAGAGCTACTTTGATTGATAAAAGATACTCAAACATTTTAAGATTGGGTGTTCATAAGAAGCATCAGCTGATGTGAAACATACCTCGGAAAAAGGGAGCGCTTTGAAGACATACGATAAAGAGTAGCTGGTCTGCATAAGGTTGGAAAGGGTTGCACAGCAGCCTCAAACTGTTTAGGCATCTATCAGTCAGCAGTTATACAAATTGTTTATAAATGGAGACAGTTTAGTACTGTGGCTACTCTTCCCAGAAGTGGCCATCCAGTCAAGATGAGTCCCAAGGCACAATGCAGAATTCTTAATGAGGTAAAGAAGAACCTACAGGTAACAGCTAAAGGCTTGAAGACATCACTGGAACTGGCAAACATCCATATTCATGAGTTCACTATACATAAGTCTTTAAACAGGCAGGGTGTCCATGGCAGAACACCATGGAGGAAGCCGCTGCTCTCATTGCTACACAAATGAAGTTTGCCAAAGAGCACCCTGCAAAACACAGTGCTACTGGAAAAATGTTTTTTGGTCTAATGAAACAAATGTTTAATTGTTCTGGAAGAATTCTCAGAACTATGTATTGTAACTGTCATGCCAACAGTGATGAATGGTGGAAGGAACATCATGATTTGGACTTGCTTCATTGTCTCAGGGCCCTGACCACTTAGAAGATGTTGAGTAATGCAGCAGGACAATGACCATTAACCCCCCTGGTGGTATTCCCGAGTGCGGGGTTAACTTTCAGTACCAGAAGCGGTAACCTGAGCTACACTCGGGATTACCCTGCAGCGTTGCTCTGGGATCCCTCCAGCACTTACCTTGTCCTGCGCTCCCGCGATGTCCCTCCTGCAGCGTTCTGGCCATCCCCTCCTGCCGATGCCGGCATCCGTCTTCCGGGTTCCATTCCTTGCGAGCGCCGGGATGTACGGGACTTTGTGCTTTGTCCTGTGCCCTGCCTGCATTTTTACTGTTCTTTCTGACTGGAAACTGAGAAACGTCCATGGTGTCCAAAAAGTATCAAACGCAGTTTTAGACCAGCTAGAGAACAGAGATAGTAAATCAGAACCACTTGGAGAATTGAGTGATAATGATTCGTGGGGAAATTCATCATCAGACACTGAAAACGATTTTGCGACTAAGCTCAATGATGTGCGAACTTGGCGCTCTATTTCAAATTTCAGTGTTTTTGGTTTGATTACATTATTGAATTCAATTAATTTTTATTATATTATTATTTTTATGATTATTTATTATAATATAATTTATGATTTCGTGTTTCAATTTTTATCATACCCAGGATGTTTACTAGACTCTTGCTCGGACAGATTTCAGTGAGTTATTCCTAAGAATTACAGGCCTACAATAAAAAAACAACAGAAATGATGACATAATCAGACTGCTATGGAGGTTAAGCATCAAAGTAAGTCCACTTTGTCACTCAGGCAACCCATAAGAAGGGCATGATTTCTCAGGTATACTTCCATACTATTGTCCACAGTGCAGGATCAAGCTAGTCTCTGGAGCAGAGCGCATTGGTCCAGGGATATTAGAGAATTTGCTGGAGATGTCTGGGATGCTGCCCTGAAATCTGTTCTGGGAATTTCTCTTTCTCCCTCTCATAAATTGTCTCAATTGTTTATTCTCCATCAAGTTTATAGGACCCCTGTGCAACTGTAATGGTGGGGCAGACTTGATTCACCTGATTGTCCGAGGTGTAGGGTCCAACAGGGCGATTTCATTCATATGCTCTGGCATTGCCTCAAGTTACATAGATATTGGAGTGAGGTTCTCCAATTTATTTCTCTAGTATCGCAATATACTGTTCCCCAGGATCCCTTGAAATGTCTGTTGGGGGCACTGGACCAAGAACTGTTCCAACCAGGAGTGTATATTATGGTATCTAGACTTTTATATCTGGTTAGGAAGTTGATAGCAAGGTACTGGTTATCATTGGCTCCTCCGACTAGTAAGAAATGGATAGATTATGTTAATTCTGTACTCCCATGGGAGAAACTCACGTACCAACATCACAATCCTTATCACAAGTTCCAGCAGGTATCGCAGGGTTGGCTGGATACACCTGCGCTCGCCCCTCCTCACTTGATAGTGAACTGACTTTTGCATGTATGACATTTTATATCAGGTGTGTGGCTCCATTCCTCCCCCTGGGGTGTTCATGTGCATCTCCCATTCTTTTTTATGAGATGTCTCTGGTGAACCAGTGGTTGTTGTTGATGTGGGTTTTTTTTATTGTTTGAAGTCATGTTTTGGGCTTTGTTCCTTTCCCCCATTTCTGGACAGGAAGGAATAAAAAGTAAAAAAAAAAAAGCAAGATATTGTCAAGAAAGTTTTGGATCCTTGTGGTCTCTGTTTTGCTTGATTACTGTTTCTGCATTATTCTGTCCATTACGGGATCTGCTTATCCATGTTGTTCTATTTATGTTTAATCCTGCTGTTGCAGTAATGTCATTGTGTATTCTAAGTGCTGTTCCAGTTTCTCTATTATCTTGACACTAAAAGTTGTTTGGATTAAAACAAAATGTAAATCCACCACATACTGGCTTCAGAAAAAGAAAATTCTCCTTTTGGAGTGGCCCAGTCAGAACCCAGACCTTAACCCCATAGAAATGCTATGGAATGATCTCAAGAGAACCATTCACATCAGGCATACTA